ATTTAGGGTGGCGGGGTCGAAATATGGAAGTCCGACGGTGATAATCGCGCCGGATCGACGAGCCCAGCCCATGACGAAAAAACGAGGATCTGCGTAAGGCTTCCCCGGGCCTTACGCGGTTTTTCGAATGAAGGACTAGGGCACTAATCAGTAATCACGGCGCGGTCTCTCAAATAATTAGATATGATTTCCTTTGGCTCGGGTGCCCCTGCGACCGCGACCAACCCCCTCCCCCTCCCCCTCTTCGTGGGTGCGCGTCACGCCGCGACACGGGGAAGCCTGAGTAGTGCGCGCTCATTTCCGATCTTAAATCGCCGCTACTGCCGCCGTACAATGGAACAAGGCAATTGGACAACTCGAAAATGATATATCAAAGTTTTAAAAGCTTTTTTTCTTATTAATAGGAGCAAAAGAATGATTTCAATGAGCTCCTAGTGAAATTTCCTCCAAGAAACACCCTGTATAATCTAAATTATGATGAAATAAACACCAGATACTACAATTTTAGTTGATAATAGTATGGTTGGCCACCGGTTCCAATTGTTGGTTCCACTGTGCGCCGCACCGAGCAGGTTCCCGCCCGAGCTCCGCCGTGAGCACATGCATTTTTGATTCAACACACGCCACACGTCTCACAACCCGGTCTCGCGGGTTGCATACCTGGAGATCCGACATCGAGAGGAGAAGTCGATAAATTCTCTCCTTCGCGGCGGAGAGGACACAAGAGTCGTAATTTGGATTATTAACTGTGTGGTACTCACACGGAGAGAAAAGCATCGGTTTTACAAACCGAACAGTTCAATAGGCGAGTCTTAGCTCAGAGGGCTCACGATCAGTCGACCAAACCGATCGCCTCAGTTGACAAAACTGAACTTTAGTTTGGTGAACCGAACATCAGTTATACGGAATTGGAAAACTTAGGTCCACATGGATGGTCTACATCGATCAAAGTTTTTCAGTTTGATGACCTTAGACTTCCGGCACTTCGAACTGAACTCTCGGTCCAGGGTCCACTGAACCTAAACTTCTGTTCACTAAGCGGTCAGTTCACTCGATTGCGGGCTGATAATTGAAATTGATATCGACAAAGCGATAAATAAAGAAGACAAACATGGAGCAACCCTGTTGGTGGAAGCGGTTGTTTGCAATGGACAAAGGAGGACTGACTAACGGTAACCTACTAGAGACCCTGTAGTTAGTCCATTATTTACCCCCTTGGTGTATGAAAACCATCAGTTTCAACCAATAGGATTGTTATTCTACCTTTCCTTTGTAGTTTTTGTCTATACTTTTGTCTATCAATATCAATAATCAGCCTGCTGATTCGTCCAACATGATGTATATGAGATTTTACCCCTTATGGTTTCGCCAGGTGACTGTTCATGCGGGAAAGACCGATTCGGGTTCGCCTTCAACTGGGCGGATATGCAACGCGTTTTCTTCAGAGTCGTAATAGTGGTATCGCAAATTTGAAGGCGCACAAGAAAAAAAGAGACGTAAGCTCGACTTCGTTTGAAATCACAACGACAATCCATGGTGAACCGGTAGAAATACGTGTCTTGGTTTGCAGCTTTGCAGATTTCCTTTTATACTTTATTTTCTACATGGAAAATTACCGAAAGCCATTTAATTTAAAACTTCAGTGATTATTCTTCTTTCAATGAAAAATATTCCGTCAAAGCTTTAAGCCATGATGTTGCCCTGGTCCTCTTTTAACAAATAAAATAGAAGCGGAAATTTTGAAACACTGCAACCAAGATCCGCGTTTTTAATGTTTCACCGTCGATATGAACGCAGACCAGGGACCTACATGACACAAGGAACGAGGCGCAGCCAAAAATTTTCCGAACAAACTTTTCTAGTTATGAGATTTTTGCGACGATTATGAAATTGTTGTAAATACCTCTCCTCCTCCGCCTCGGAACGCGAGGAGGTCTTAGGAGAGGTCAGAAATGAGAGGTTAATGTCCTGGGGCAGAGGCTCTGGAGGAAAAGAAATGGGGCATTTTTTCAACAACAGTAGGTCTGTTTCTTTTCACCAACGCTGTAATTTTCGTTGAGTTTAAGGAGCGGTGTTTCATAACACTTGTTAGAGAGAATCTCGTGCAAATGATCCGAGCTTTCGGCAATAAATTATTGCAGGTTATATTACGAGCTTTCGGCACGAAAGTTTCTGTGAAGCACGCGGGACGCTCTTCACAAGGCTTACCTTACTTACAATTAGATTAGACTGAATTACATGCTCCCTTGTACCTCCACGGTTTCCATTTCCTTTTGTCAACTTGTCTTACAGCGTGGAGGATTTTTCGGAATTCGAGGTTGTGAAATGAGAACATCCTGTTTTTCCACTTCTCATTCTCCTCTTTCTTATTTCGTGAGGGTGAAATGGACCGCGTGATGCAGAGAGGAACCAAAGTTACATTTGTCAATGCAAAATTTCTACTAATTAACTTATTCGAAGGAGAACAATTTTACAGATTCTTTTTGAATAGTTCAGATAATTTGCTCCACGTCACAGATGAATTCCCTTGAAATTTTCAAAAGAATTTACACTACCGCTCTCCTGTAAAAAAAATAATTCATCCGATTAGACTTGGCAATGACTGATGTAACTTGGTTACTTTCTGCTTGATACGGTCCACAAGAACCAATCGACGGTGCAAATCTGCAGAAGTGAATATCACGATTTACGACGTTGCAAACGTCCTGGCATATTTTATTTCTTGCATGGAAAATTATTTAACCTCATCTCTCGAAAGCTTTAATTATTTTTCCGCTTCGTTGGCAGAATATTCTGGGAAAATTTCAGACGATGATGTTGGTAAGGTTCTCTTTATAGGTCTAAATGGGAACGGAGATTTTAAAACACTGCAGTTGAGATACGCGCTTTTGCTGTTGGACCATCGTAATGAGCCGACCGTAAACTTTTTTAAACTATATTAATGCTTCTTTGCGCTCTAAAAAATTGATTTCGTAGGGGGATTTTTGGTGATATTTTCCTCAAGTAGGAGCGGCATGTTGAACTATTGCAATATTGAACTTTGTATTTTTTGTAAGTTCACTGAATTTATACAGGTAATTTAGGAGATAAGTTTAGATAACGGCAAAATCAGGGCTCAGCCTAACTGTGTAGCAAAGCTAAAAATCATCCATCGGAATGCCCATGATTTAGGACAGTTCTTATAGTAAAAACGAGTGGGATCTTGCAAAAAATCACAAAATAATAGGATTTTTTCGGAAGCAATATTCAGGGCCATAAAGTTTCAGAATACCTTTATCGTCATTTTTTGGTACTCCTATTGGCCAAATTGATTCGTATTGAGATTTTTTTCTGAGGTATACCCAAGTTCGATGACCCTACACCATGAGTATATGCTGTTTCAAGTTCTCAAATTGTAAAATAGCTAAGGATATCAACCATTTGTTGTCAACAATAGAGTTTCGTTGTTCTTTTTATTACTAGGCCCATGGAAATTCCAAAAATAAAAACAAATAGTGACGAATGCTTCTTAAAGCTGCCGACATAATCCCTTATCTTGATCCTCCAAAAATATATTAACTATGGCGTGGAGTGTTGCCATATAGCAAGAGAAACTAAGCACTTCGACCTTTTCCATCAATCTCAATGAGTTGAGGTATACGATCAGCAATTTTACAGTAATTTGACGGTCGAACATCATGTAAATGTATTTTCTACATTATTCAACGCATTTAGCCATTGACTTTTAGGAATTGGATTGGCTTTCATGCGATGAGGCAAATATAGATTTTCATAAGTTATTTTATAATTTAATTATTTCAGTTTGAGTGGAAGAAATATCACGTTAAAGGGTGCATCAGGTAACGTGGCAGGCCTATATAGATTTTGGCACAAACCGTCTATCTTAAACTTTTATGAGTAATGTAATTGGATTATGTATGTCTAAAATTTGGTCCAATTTACCTCACTAGTAGACAGTTAACCGCGAAATTAGAAATCGCCGTAAATCGTAAGTATTTTCCCTAGAGTTTTGTGGAAACCTTCTCCTCTTCTCGAGGAGTTTCCGATCATGTTTATCGAACAAGCTCCAGTGTCGACCTGTTGTAAATATATGCTTCATTTCACATCAACAAAAGAGAACTTGCAGGGGTCTGAAATTTGATGAATTACGTGTTTATGTGGAAAATACTGAGTGAACTGAACACGAAGATACCCTTGGCTCATGTACTGAGCAATTATTGGAGAGGATATGACAAAATGATCTAATCTGCTAAAATACGTGTGTTTAAGTGGGAAATGCCGCCAGATGACGTCACTAGGCGGTGCATTTTCTCACTTTTAAATCTATTTTTATACTATTTCCCACATCAGAAAAAAGTAAAAAAAATACTGTGAAATCAGCTCTTTAGGCACTTTCAGATGAAGCGTTAAAAAATTTGCTCGCAAATTTTCCATTGCAATCAAAGTGAACATTCATCCGTCACCCTCTTTCCAAAAATGCCTCAATAACTGTTGAAAGGTCTTCGTGAATAGTAAAGAAATCCACTCAAGTGATTTGACTAGTTACATATCGCCGTTTCTTTCAATAATAACGTAACTACATTTCAATATTGCCAGATTTTCCCCGCGCAAATCGCATTTTTGCGAGGAGAATTTTGAGAATTTTTAACTGAAAATGTCTTTCGTTTTTCCCAGATAAAAGTTGGACAAAAATTGCTCTTCTTGTAAAAAAATTGAATTGTTTGAGTTAAGTTCGCAACTTTAATGGGAAACGACGACACGTCTCACAACAGGATTACATTTTGCAATAAGGATTCACTGTCTCTAGCTCCTCCATAAAAGCCCCTTTCAGCCGAAGGAAACAAATGGCATGAATGTTGTTCCTAAAATGAGCCAGAAATAGTGGTTTCTTATTGCAAAATGTGATCCATTACATTTCCAATTCCTTTTAGTTGTAAGTTAAAGGAACAATCTCTACCAGCAAATTTTTTATGCTTATGACAAGGAAAACTTTTATTTACCTCCAAAGAAATCCGCACAGTTCAGTTGTAAAGGATAATTAGGGCTGAAGACGCAGTTAGGTGTTTGAGGTACGTCACTCAAAATCATCGAAAACTAATGTTCCATATCACAGTTTACTTTTGAAACACACACTTCAAATAAATTCGGAACACACATGGTTTCTTAAGTTTCAACGCCTGTTTGAGCTAAATAATTAACCAAACAACGCTGTATCCATGTCTTAACACATTTATCAAAACAACAACAACGCAGTGTCTACAAATTACCGCACTTTAAGTATAATAGCCCACGAAATTGAAATTTTTTTGGATGTAGGGGAGAATCCTCTAATTTTCAAAGCTCGTTCCTAGGGGATAATTGCTCCTCACGCAAACTGTAAATAAAATTGGTAGTATTAACTAAAAAGCGCACTTTCACTCTATACAATTGTGACAGCAATTTTGCCAATGCCTTATACACATCTATTAAGTCACTAAAAAACAGAAAAAAACATTTGTGCCAGTCGGAATGTAAAGATTATCTCGCGACGAGAGGTGACCCTACTTTCAAATTTTTAGTGCTTCTTAACTCGAAACGCTAACGAGAAGCGGTCTATTACACGGGGTAATCCACGATTTTTTATCGGTTTTGCCGCCAAAAACTCATCGAATTTCGCCGAAGGGCCGAAGTGATAGGTTACCGGAATACGAACACCTCTTCTTGATTTACAAGAACTGGTAATCTACGGATCACAATTCTGCTCTGGTATCGAGTGTCTCGCAGATAGATTTAGTGCACCCGGAAATATCGCGGATCCGCGTTTAAATTTTTACCGCGAAAATTTCAAGACGGAGTCGGAAGTCCCGGCACTCGCGCGGAAGAATCGGCGGAGCAGCTCCACTTGCCGACGAAGAAGCGCCGCATGGTGATATCAGACGTTGTCCCCTTCCCCTCGCCTTCTGTTAAGGAGGAATGATGCCGAGGGTCTCCAGCGGCAAAGCGCTGAACTTTCAGTCCGCCTCTAGTGTTGTGGTTGGCCGATAGATGTCGCCGATATCACTTCTGTGCCGCGACTGTTCGAATAGAAGCCGCGAGATTCAGTTTGCGAGCGCGTGGGCGGATCCTGACGCCTCAGACAGGGGACAACGACAACAGCGGGCCGATTATTGAAATTGATCGACAAAGCTATAGACAAAGAAGACAATAGAGATTTTGAGCGATCTTATTGGTGGAAGCGGGTGGTTGCAATGGACAAAGAAGGTAGGCAATAGACTAACTAACGGCAACCCACGAGGGACCCAATAGTTAGTCCATCATTTTCTCTCTCAGTCTATAGGACTCACTCATTTTAGCCAATAGGATAGCTCCAAACTCCCTTTGTCTTCTTTGTCTATAAATCTCAATAATGAGCCCGCAGGGGGGTTCAGGGGCCTCTCCAGGAAAATTTTTGAATTTTTGAAGCCTCCTAAATACGCACTTTCAGTCAATTTCGTTCTGAATAAATACTAAATAAAAGCGTGTCTCCTATTTCTTTCCACCCAACCTCTCCCTAAATTCCTCTTTTCCTCCTTCTTATTCACGCAATATTTGGGGGGGGGGCGAGCCCCCCACGCCCCACCCGTACATCCGCCAATGAGCGAGCGTCGTGTTTGACTCTACACGAAGAGGAAAATTCGGTTATGTCACGGAGATTAAACTTGAGTCCACATGGAACACTTTTTTCAGTGCAAGTAATCGAAGTTTTCAGTTCTAAGAAACGAATTTCAATTTGGTAAAGGATTCGAGTCTCGATAAAGCCAACGAAGACTTCGGTTACTCGAACTGAAGTTCGATTTCCATGACTGAAATTTTCAATTACTTAAACTGAAAATTTCCGTTTCCGGGACTGAAAAAGTTCTTTTTTATGTGTACCTTGCCCGGAAGTGACCGAATGATTATTGTGATGTATGTAAGGCCGTGAATGTTACAACTCGATATAAGATTGTTCATTACGGCAAGAAAACGATTGAGGACACCGCACCAAGAACAGCCTATAACTGGAAACCGCGTTTTGAGAAAAACGCATTTAAAGTTTTGTTTTTGATGTACTGCGCAGACTTTTCTACGCAGGTACCCTGTTTTGGTGTTTTTGGGTGACCTAACCCTTCTATTGAAGGATGCCGGGTAGATTTTGCGATACATTATGGGTTTATACTCTCATATATTTAATTTAAAAAAGCAGTTTACAGGCCATTATTACGCCCAACAGTCATTTTGGTGGCACTATGAAGTATAAATCATTTTAATCACGCATGATTAACGCAAAATGAAAGAATATCGATAGTGAGTAAAGGAAGGGGTAACTAGCACCTTATAGGCCCTTAAGTTTATAGGCCCGTTTAGAGGTCGTTCTTGCACCCATCGATCCAGAGGCCTGACTTAACCCGGAAAAAAAAAGTTTTTCGACCACTAGCCGTTACGTATATATATTCTATCGCTACCACAGCATAGTCCAGGGTACGTAGAATCCGAAAGGCAGATGGGCGTAATAACGACCTATACGCCTCTAGGCTGTTCTTGGTGCGGTGTCCTCAATTGTAATCTTTCGTCACATTCTTACGGCGCAATGATACAACTATTTGAACTCTCCGGAATGCGTGAGGTATCACGCCGCATTTGAAGGCGTTTTCAAGACAGCCAAGTTCCGATACCCGGATTATCGTTTTGAATAGTTCATATTCTTTTGTTTTTTTCCGAACCGCTTTCTTATTTTTAACCCTCGTATAAAAACCACCCATTTGCTAAATACAATTCTGGCTGGAGCGCATTTTAGCTATGCACTCACGACTACTAAAATGTCAAAGGAAATCGACAAGACTAGCGTGTATGAAGGCTATTTCAATTGTAATCTGCCGTCGCATTTCCAAGGCGCAGTGATACAACTATTTGAACTCTCCGAAATGCGTGAGGTATCACGCCGCATTTGAAGGCGTTTTCAAAACAGCCAAGTTCCGATACCCGGATTATCGTTTGGCATAGTTCATATTCTTTTGTTATATTCCGTACCACTTGTTTATTTTTAATCCTCGTATAAGAACCACACATTTGCCGTATACATTTTTAGCTGGAGCGCACTTCAGCTATGCATTCACCATACTGCAAAAATGTCAAAGGAAATTGACAAGCCCAGCGTATATGGAGGCCATTTCAATAATGGACCACTGCACAAGGTACGAATTTAAGCAATCTGAAACATGTTTCTTCACCAAAATTTCACGTAGAACACGATTAGCGCAATGGATATTACTGAAACTAACTCCTAACAAAGATATCAAAGTTTTTATTTCACATTGGGTACGAGGAATTTGAACTGCCCGCTCACAAGAAACTCAAAGGTCTACGTGAGTCAAATCGCGCACTACAACGGTTTCAGCAAGCTTCTCAATTGAGCAATGTTCATTTTCCACCATGTGTTCTTCAAATTATTAGCAATTTGCTATAGCTGAGCCAAAGCGTCAAACTTGAGGTTGCCACATTTTTAAATCGCAGATACTGTCATGATAACGTTTCGCGTTTAATGCAACTCAATAAATTTGTGTTTTATTTGACTGAAGCGTTAGAAAACAGTTCGGTCAGAAATTAAATCAACCTACGATCCATTATTTAGTTCATATTCTTTTGTTTTGTTCCGTATCACTTGTTTATTTTTAATCCTCGTTTAAAAACCACCCATTTGCTAAATACAATTCTTGCTGGAGCGCACTTCAGCTATGCATTCACCACTGCAAAAATGTCAAAGGAAATCGACAAGCCCAGTGTGTATGGAGGCTCTTTCAATTGAGGACACCGCACCAAGAACAGCTTATATATGAGAAAAACGCATTTAAAGTTTTGTTTTTGATGTACCGCGCAGACTTTTGTATGCAGGTGCCCTGTTTTGGTTGTTTTTGGGTGACTTAACCCCTCTATTGAAGGATGCCGGGTAGATTTTGCGATCCAGAGGCCTGACTTAACTAGGAAAAAAAAGGTTTTTCGACCTCGAGCCATTACCTATCTATATTCTATCGCTACCACAGCATAGTCCAGGGTACGTAGAATCCGAAAAGCAGATGGGCGTAATAACGACCTATACGCCTATAGGCTATTCTTTGTGCGGTGTCCTCAATTAAAGGTAATGCATGTCAATTTTCAAATTTCGATGCTAAACCCCCTCTGATATTGTTGGATTGAATAAATTTGTATGAAATGCGATGCGAAATTCACTCAAGGTATTCAATAAAAAGCTCTGATATGCTCACTGCCGAAAAGACTGCGTCATTTGAAGAAGAAAAAAAGAAAAAAAAAAAAAAAAAAAAAAAAAAAAAAAAAAACTGAGATTATGCCACTAAAATTTTAGGATCAAAATGACATAAATCCTAATGGAAGTCTAGGAGGTAGTAAATAATGTTCTCCTCTGGGAATCTTAGACCTACTTGATAATACAGGAATTTAACATATCGACGGTGTAAGTCGGCAATCACATAACTCGGTTTGCGACGTCACAGGCTTCCTGTCATACTTTATTTTTTAAACGGAAAACTACTCCACGGCAATTCTTCAAAACTGCCGTGATTTGTCTTCTCTGTGCGAGGAAAATTCGGCATATACTTCAAGGAATGATGTCGATTTGTTCTCCTTTAAATAAATAACATAGAGGCGGAGACTTTCAGACACCGCAAACGAGTTATGTGATTGCCGACTTACACCGTCGATATATAGGTCTAATCACCTGGTCCTAAACTATAGAGGCCGCTAACTGTGTTTTGGCCACATCGAAAGTGTTTAATTAAGAGCTCCATTAGATTGCCTACATCAGTGGCCCGCTTTCCAACCAGTTCGCCTTCAAAACTATGGCAGGCAACTTGAGCGGCCTGAGAGCTGCTAAAGTTGCTTGCTGCAGTTTGGCTTTGGCCACCCACAAAACATTCGCATTCGGTTTCCGTAACATTCCCGCATCAATTCGATTGCTTATAGCAGTGAGTGATCTCAATCTGACGCCTCAATCCTCGGGAAAATATGATTTTAAATCCGTAAGTGTCCCTACTTAACAACATGTGTTACCAATCCTACACTATTGCGCATAAGTCCTTTTTCAAAACTCTCGAAGTAAAGTGACTGGTTTTCTCAAAAGCATCTAGTTAACCGTTATGAACTGATGATATTTACTTGCTCTGTTATTATTTACTTTTCTTACTTCTAAGCGCTAAACAATA